ATCTTAAATTTTTTATTTTCTTATTTATTATTTTAATTTAATCTAATTTATTATTTTTTAACAATAATTTCACTTTATTTAATTAAATTAATTTTTAATTATATCTTTTTATGAATTTTTACTTATTGAAATTAATTTTAAAAATAAAATTAATTTCATAAAAATAATAAATTCATTTTTACTATTTAAAAAATAGTAGTTTTTATCCATATTATTTTAATTTTTTGGTTAAATACCCAGTTTGGTCCCTCAACTTTCATTTTTGAACCAAACTTACCCTTGTACTTCAAAAAATATTAAAAAAATCCTTAAACTTCAATTTTTGGGACTAGTTTCGTCCTTCCATCAACGGAAATATTAGATGTCACGTTAAGTTGCCATGAAATCAATTCTTGTTTAAAATCTTAATAACCTGTAAAATGAAACAACATCCTTTTTTGCCACCTTGGCATTTTTCCATTTTCACATCAGTAATGAAATTTTACAAACATTTTCCACTCAATTTTCCTTCACTTTCGCACTAGGCCTAGAGGCCCAATGGCACTTGCCATTGCAAAGTGCATTTCCCCCTCCTCCGGCGAGTTTCGAACCCGCCCATGTCCAAAAGTTCAAAAAAAAAAAAAAAATTCCTTCACTTTCGTATGAACCAAACAACAAAAATTCATTCCATCCAAATTAAATTCAAATTTCAATACTTTGAACCATCAAATCTTCTACAAAACCGCTAAATTGAAGCTTCAAAAAACATTAATATGGAAAAAACTCACTGCTTTGCACCACCAAATTTAGAAAAAAAAAACCTTCAAATTCAAGCTCCAAAAAGCACATATATGGGTTTTTGTATGTTCTTCAAATGTTGGGTTCTCTCTTGTAAAACTAGAAAAAAATTCATCGAAAAAAAAAAAAAGAGAACCCAAATCTGGGTTCTTGAAAACCCAAGAACCTAGATCTCTGGAAAGCTGAAGCTTCTTTCTAGAAGTATCATCGTCTTCCTTGTCACTAATGCCACGAGAGGAGGCTCTATTGATCTTGTGTTCCTCTCCACCGTCTCTCTCACTTCTCTTTCGACTTATACTCGAAATTGTGTTGTTTGGAGACAAGACTCTAGCTTCCTTCTCACAATTTGCCGTCAATGGCAATTTATTCACATCAATTCCTCGTAGAAAGGACTTCATCTCCAGCCGGCTAGATTCCTAGTTGAGATCTGGATGCAAAAGCCCAAAAACAGAAAAAAGAAAAAAGAAAAAAGAACTTTAACATGTGAACAACAGAATAGCTCAATGTAATCAATCTTAAAAGCACTAATTGAAGAAGAGAAAATGGGTAGCCTCTTCTAATTTCTTCTCCCTTTCTCAGATCTTTAATTCTCTTTGAATCTCAAATTCCAAGGGCTTTGGAGCTTTCTCCTTAGAGTTCAAATCCATGTCGGGTCTTGCTACCAAGTCGCCACTGGATGCCATCCCCACCAAATCTCACCTCCCAAACCAAACTCTTCGATCCCGCCTAGAATGCCAAATAAGAAAATTCCATAACCATCTCCCTCTTGATCTAAACCTTCTCTTGCTCGCTTTGCCAAGAAGCCCCCTCTTGATTCCCCCAATTTTTGAACTATGGAAAAGAGGAGGAAAGTTTTGAGTTTTAAAGAAAGAGAATGGGATCCATGATCGATATATGGTTGCGCAAAAAAAGGGGGAATTGGTGTGGCAACTTCTATCGAGGGAAGAAGAACGAGGAAGAAGATCGAGGTATTTTAGCAATATAAGTATTTTTAGGTGGGCCCCACTTAAAGGAAAAAGAGACTTGATGTGGACAATAAAAATGACACGATGGATAAGTTATTTTCCATGTCATTAAAGATTTAAAACAAAAAATGATTTTGTGGCAAGTTAACATGCCATCTAACACTTCCCTCCACGGAAGGATGAAATTGGTCCCAAAAATTGAAGTTTAGGGATCTTTTTAATACTTTTTGAAGTTTGAGGGTAGATGTGATTCAAAAATGAAAATTGAGGGACTAAATTGAGTATTTAACCTAGTTTTTTTGACTTTTTTTTTAAAGTGAAAATAATAATTATTGATATATTTTAATAATTTACACAATCTATCATAAATTGGTTTGTTAGTTGAAAATACTCTATTTTAATTTTAATTTAATTTTTTTATTTTTTATTAAAATTAATAAAATTTTATATAATAAATTATTTTAAAATATTTTATAAAATTTATAAACGTTTTAAAAAATAAACCAACTTTTTATATTAAAATAAAATAAATAATTAATTAATATAGTAATAATTAAATTAAGTCCTCGACGACAAAAGAAGGGAGTATAAAAATTGAGTTGCTTACGTGTTTGTGACCGCTACATTTTTGCGCGTACCTTGCAACGATCCACTTGAAGTCTACGTGTCAAAGTCATCTACAAGCGCCACGTAGAATCAACTCGACACGTGTCGCTCGCACCTGAAGAATCACCCCACATATTGCTTCTATATAGACCCACTCCCACGATCCACTTGAAGTCTACGTGTCAAAGTCATCTACAAGCGCCACGTAGTATCAACTCGACACGTGTCGCTCGCACCTGAAGAATTACCCCACATATTGCTTCTATATAGACCCCCTCCCTTCCCCTCCTTCTGATACGAAAACCGTGAACGCCTCTTCTTCCTTGCCTCAAAGTTTGTTTCCTTTTCTTGATTTCAGCTGGAACCCTTTTTTTAGCTTTTTATTCTCGTCTTTTCTAGAATTTTCTCGGGAAAATGAAGGAAACCGTGGAGAACCCTCTTCATCTCAAATCTTTGAACCACATCTCGCTGGTATGCAGATCAGCGGAGGAATCCATTGATTTCTACCAGAATGTTCTTGGGTTCGTCCCGATCAGGAGACCCGGATCCTTCGATTTTGATGGGGCATGGTAATTCCATCGTCAAACTGAGGAGTCTAGTGTTATAACGAACAGAAATGGCTTCAGAGTTTGAATTCACAATTATAATAAAAAAAAATATAACGAAATGTGTATTAACTTTTGGTTTTGAGTAAATAATTATTTCTGGGTTGTGTTCTGTTAGGTTGTTTGGTTATGGAATCGGGATTCATCTATTGCAAGCGGAGAAACCAGAGGACATGCCAAAGAAGAAGGAAATTAATCCCAAAGATAATCATATCTCTTTCCAGGTAAAATTTCCATCAAAGGAAATGGTTTCTTTGTTTTCATGTTCAGATCGTAAGGCACCTTAATGAATCACGCACTATGGGGAAAGAAATTGATCAAAACCCATTTCCTAATTCTTCTTTTGGTACAATATGATGTTTATTTTTTTCTTTGTGAAATGGAAAAATCTCACGTTAATCATACGTTGAGGGAGGGGACGTAGAGTTCGACACGGTACAAACATCTTTACTTATTATTAATGGATTTTTTTTATTGTTAGATTAAAGCATGCGCATGGTCTCAAATCTAACCTGCACATGAGAGATGGATTATAGATTGTATACAATATGAACCTCTCGCTTAGTAAATAGGATTAGATATCACACATTTTTCCAAGAGTGATAACTTGAAGTCAATACCTGTACTAGAAAAAGGAGATGGCCATCATAATACTAGGTTATTTGGAGGAATGATTTGGTTCTTGTGATCTTATTTAGTGGTTGATAGATGGTTCGCACCAAATTCATGAAAATGGAAAACGAAAGCTTTTGGTGCTATTCTAAGAAGTTAACCATCATACGGAATCCTTGGCCATAACAAGTGGTTGTAATTTGTCAATTTCCATCGTCGTTCACTCTCAACCTAACCAAATCAAATAAATCCAAAGTTAGAAAGTTCAATTTTATTGACACCAATATAAAAATATCCCCCTTGGGATTTCTATGCCTTCCTTTTTATTTTCTTCTCTCTTCTAATAAAATAATCATGGAATTTCAAGATGCTTATGTCATGATTGGGAATTTTAATTAACTTCTCTAAAAATGGATCCGTTTGTACAGTGTGAGAGCATGGGGACAGTAGAGAAGAAGCTGAAGGAGATGGGACTGAACCATGTCCGGTCCATGGTGGAGGAAGGTGGAATCCACGTGGACCAGCTGTTCTTCCATGATCCTGATGGGTTCATGATCGAGATCTGCAACTGTGATAGCCTGCCTGTCATTCCATTGGCAGGAGAGATGGCTCGGGCGTGCTCACTAGTGAACCTCCAGATGTTGCAGCATCAGCAGATTCAGCAGGTGGTTCAGCAGTAGGTTTGGTGCCGCTGGGCATTATAAGAATCACTGGGCCATCTGAGCATATATGGTTTTTGTGTTTGTGTTTACCAATAAAACAAAAAGTGTTTTGCAGTCCATACTGCAAAATTGTATCGTGTTGTGTTTATCTTATGGTTTCAGTTTTATTTTCTTACGTGTGTGCTAGATGTGATCCCCTGGGAAATGATCATTTTCCTAGTTTGTTTCAATAAATTGAATGAAATCTCCTTGGCTTAGATTAACAAGTAGTATTGTTCAATTGTAAGGGAGAAATATATCAGCTTAAAACTTGTCATCAATTAGTTTTAGGCAAGTTTCTAATATTTCATGAAAGCAACTTCTACATCTTGCTCCCAGTCCCAGTCATACCCGTCGAAAACCAATGAAAACCAACTGATTACAATTTAACCATGCTCTGTATCAAGATTTGAGCATTTATATATTTCTCTAACTTGGCCATCTCCTGCGTTTCATGTAGTATAACCACTTGATTTTTTGCATGCCAAAACTCATATACAAGGACTTCAACTCGTATCTACGTGAGTGTAGCACTCTTTACTCCTCCCTCTACATAACTCCTAATAATTTTACATGTTGCTCATTATTTGCTGGAAAGGATGCTGCAGCTTGCACCAGCCACAATTCTCCTCCAAAGCTCTTTAGTGAATCTGCACTGAAAAAACAAATGTGCACAAGTTTCCTCAGCATCATTACAGAACTCACACATCACTGTGATAGTCATTCCCCATCTGCCCAAATAGCTCTTAGTCTTCAATCTCTGGTGCCATAACAGCCATAAGATGAAGCTCTTCAAGGGAGCACAATGGAGCTCCATATCCATTTTGTACCAGCCCACCATGTTCCCTCTAGGCCTCCATAACTCATAACCTCCTATAATGGAGTAACTAACCATTTGACTTTTCCTGCCATACAGCTTTATCATCCTGGAGCGTTGGTTGGCACTTGGCAGTGCAGAACTTCCGCTGCAATATCAGAATATAAAAAGCTTATAGGGATACACCAATCACCCTCCTTTCTCCATTGGTGCCCCTTCGTATTGCTACCCAATTGAACATGAACAATCTCTCCGTTTATCCTATCATCAATTAGTTTTAGATTACAGCACTTCCTTTCATTTCCAAGGTTTGAATGATTTCTGTCTAATTTGAGCATTTCATAGGTTATATGGTGATTGTTTGAACTCCTCAAAGTTTCACATTCAAATTTTGTTCTCTTCGTAATACTGCTTAAAAATTGACAGGCCTTGTAATTTTCCCATCTCTAAAAGTGGTGTGTATATTGTTGGAAATCAACAAAAGCCTTCTCAAGTCCTACTTAGAAGAAGAAATTCAACGGTTAATAGTTAATAAAGCTTATTCTAAATTAATAACGGTTAACCGCAAACCTCTCTACCAAACACCTTGTAATGTAATGGGCATCAACCTCCATTGATATAAGAAAAAATCTCGTTTTTCAGTACTTAAACAGAGGAAGAAGGTGGATTTTTAATTCTTTGGTATTTCAGCCGATATCCACTGACCTTAAGTCCAATTTTATTTTTGTTTGTATTTTTTTTAAATTTTGGTAATTGTAGGAGGATGGGGATAGGAAATTACAAGTAATTGGTGGGGTTCTAACCACCACCATGTAGATGAACACCAACAAGCTCTACAAGTGGGGAAGCTTAAGATGCAATCCAAATTGTTAACTCAGATGCTGTAGTTTAATTCCATTGGTGCAGAATAAAGCCACATAGTATCCATATCCTTGATGAACAAATGTTTGCTTTATAATTACAGAACGAAGAGTTCAGAGAAATTGAAACTCAACCTGGAAAAACAGAGAGGGGGATTTCAAGGCAAGGACAGGGGCAGGGTACCAAGCACAAAAATGTACAAATTAAAGTTGAATCATGAAAAAGTTAAGAACAGTCGTATTCAATTATGAAGCAAATTATTTTTGTGCTTCTTTGCTCTCCAATGCATGCAGATACACATCATCATTTCAGGAAGAAAACAGTGTTTTATCAAATAAAATTAATACTAAACGTATATATCTATATATATGTACCACAAAATACCAGGACAAAAACCTTGTAACCACGCAAAGGGTTGAGTTATAATCCCCTGGCCAACATTTGCTCGTAATTCTCCATTGATTCGAGCCTCTGGAGCAGAAGTTGCTGCCTGAACTTCCTGATGAATGCCTCGGCTCTTTCATTTATGTCCATGGACGGCATCTTCTCGAGCTTCTTGGAGGCTGCAGCAGCTGGCATCTTCTCGAGCTTCTTGGAGGCTGCAGCAGCTGGCTTCTTCTCTTTGAGATCATGGAAGTCTTCGGCGTTGTTGTTTGAATGGGGAGGCATAGAGATGGGAGTTTTCTTCATATTTTCTTGTCTTGTTTTTCTTGTTCACTATGATTTGCATTATGACTTGAGAACTCCCCTACTTATATGCAGAAAGTGGAATAAATTGTAGTACCACGTTTCTTCAAATGGGTTGAATCCGTCTAATATTTCTTTTTGTGAATTTGGGTTGAATCGGTCCTCTTTTTTCTTTTTTTTGAGAAAAGTCACAAAAAGGTTGGAATCTAAGGAATACACATTTTGAATGGATATCTTTTGTTGAATATTAGAGAACTTGGGGGAATGAGGTAATTTTAAAAGAAAATGATTTTTATATAATTATTTTTTTGTACAACTTGATGTGTTATTAAAATGATTGATTTTTTTAATTTACGTGGGACTTGTGATATTAAATGTATCTATTCATTTAATGATATGTAAAAATTATATAAAAAAATTATTTATGTAACATCACTTAATTTTAAATTGTAAAGTTATTGTTATACTTGTAAATTCAACCTTGATAAGCAAATGCGCACATTTTGAGTGGATATGCTAAGGTAAAAAACTCGTATGTAAATAGTAAAATATTCTTTTAATGGATACATTTGCTGCCCTCTTTGTATTGTAATTATTACTATTTCTTTTGTTTATTTTTAATTAATTTAATTTAATTTTTTAATTTTTTAAAATATGAATTTTAAATAAAAATTTAATAACTGATTTAAATAACAATTAAAAATTTATTTCTTTCTATATAAAGTCATTGTTGAGTATTTTTATTTAATTAAAAAATATTTCAACTATCGTTTATATAATAACATATTAAATTTTTATTTAAAATTTATATCTAAAAAGTTAAAAAACTAAATTAAATCTATTAAAAGTAAACAAAAAGAGTATACTTTTACAAAAAGTTTTTAACTCAAATATAGTAGTCGAGTCATGGTTTTCATCCAAGTATGAATCTAAGGTTGAGAATTTCCTTTTTCAATCTAGCCCAAAAGAAAAATATTGTAAATAAATATGATACTTAAGTCTTAAAATATGTTTAAGTTAAGGTGATGAGAGGGGAGAGAAGGGGAAGAGAGCACAAGGGAAGGAAGATTTTTTGGACAATAAAATTATGAAAATTTAAAATTTTAATAATTTAATTTATTAAAATATTTTTTCTTCCCCTCTCTTTCTTTCTATTTCCTTCAATTCAATCTAATTATACTTTTAGAGTATATCTGTTTTGAATAAAAGAAGGAAATGTTAATTTTTTAACTAATTAAATAATAATATTATCAAATAATATAGTCTAATTGATAAAAAAATTTATCCATCTCTTCAATAATAAATAATAAAACAAATATTAATATATATATTTTTACTACTTCCCTAGATGAAATGTCAGTTATAAGTATTAATTTTTTTCATATTTAATTTAATTTAATTTTTTAAGTCCTTACTCAGTTACTCCTAAATGTGGCCATCTTCGGTGACGTTGAAGAAATATCAAAGTTGACATCTCCAAGAAATGCCTACACCGCCACACGCTTATACCATTCAAATCCAACTTGCGCCTTGTGGTATGGCAGAGAGGAAGTTCCATTGAATGCGCCACAGTTGCTTGCCGAATCAAGAACTACAGGGGCAACACGAATGTCGCTTCCCTTGTAATTTTTTTCTCTTTTTCCAAGTAATAATAAGGACGTGAGTATCTTCACCATTAATTTTGTTGTAATTATTAAAATAATTAAATTTTATTTTAATTTAATTGTTAAAATAATTTATAATTAATAAAATAATTAATTTTTATTATTTAATATATTAAAAATAATTTGTAAATAAATATTTTTTAATATTATAATTAATTATTTAAAAAATATAAACTAATAAAATTATAAATAAAATTAATTATCATAACTTCAGCCTAATAATAAAAGTTTTCTTTACCGTACATGCATCCCAATCAACAAGTTAAGTAATAATATGCAAACAATATATTTTTATAATTTACATGTTATTAAATTAATAAAATTAATTAAACAATTTATTCTATTCCAGTGATATTTGGTCTTGAATTAAAATCATTCACTTTTTGTGGATTGTGTGTTTGAATTTTATGAATTTTTTTTATTTTTTTAATTAATATGTAAATAATTATAATTTATTTAAAAAATAAATAAAATTAATTAAATCATTTTATCTAAATTTTAATGTTTGAGATTAATTAACCAGTAATTTCACTCTTATCAACTATTAAAAAAAAACTCTATTTTCTTCAATTTTTTTCATATTAAAAAAAATAAAATTAATTAATAAATAATACATAATACATACAATATTGTCATATATATATATATTTAGTCACCATCAGACGTTTATGACGTTTCTGGGGTAATAAATGGGGAGAATGGCATCTACACCTAACAGCTTGACTGTTGCTTGGCTGGATATGCATTCATTCTACATTAGCCGCCAATACCCACAGATAGGATCAAAGTGGCTTGAAGAAAATAGAGTAGGAAAAGCTGTCATCCACATGGGTCACCTCAACCGGACGTATCAGTTTTGCCTAGAAGATCACTCAAAGATAGGTCATTGAGGAAATTTATAAGATGACCTAATTAGATTAGGTCCAATAGGATTCTTTCCAGGATTCCCTGATTCAGACGCTTGTCCATGTCCTTCGCTACCCAACATGATAAATTTACATTTAGCCACTTTTTATTGGCTTTGTAAAAACCATGAGCGAACCGGAACTTTGGTCTAGTAGTTCGTCCCAAGCCTTAGTGCTTGGATGAAGCGATGGTTAAAATTTTAAATTTTACCATCATCGTGAACTCTATAAAAAAGCGATCTGATGGTCGTGCGCTTCATTTGAGGGGGTAGAATGTTCACCCGATCTGAGAATCCCAATGACTAACAATTAATTCGTATTAACTTTTTAACTATTACCATTGTCTAAAAAAAAAAAAAACCCATGAACTCCCTAGGTTTGTGGGTTCCCAACTCCCAAGTGGTTTGTTTTGTCTGGTAAACTCAAGTCAAGGATGTATTGATTCTCTCGAGAGTTTTGGACTCTGGAGTCTGGACTGATTTACAACTTACAAGTATTCTTTTGAGTTTTGGTTTTTTGTTTTTTTGTTTTTTTAACATGGGGGATATTTAGGGAAGATGGTAGTTTTACAAGTTCTTGGTGTGTGTAATACTTCTGATCTAGTACCCTCCAGCTTCTATGCTTTGTGGGGTGAACCAATCAACCAAATAGTCTTATAAGGCTTTGTTTTATTTTGAGTTTAACTACTTTGATCATTATTCAAAATGCTCGTTTGTAATCATTTTATATAATTTTAGTTTATCTTTTACGAATAACATATAATTATAACTGTTAGTAAATAATTAAAAAATAGTTAATATTAATTTGAAAATATATAGCTTATAAGCTAATATTTCTAAACATTCCAACTAGATGTTTAAGGGGAAAAAAAACTATAAATTAATAAAATCAACCAAACTAAACACATCTAATATCTTTAGAGAAGACAATGTCTAAAATATCCTTTGACTTCTTTTCTATAGGCAATTGAGTACTTCTATTTATTTTCTAGCAATTTTGCCCCCTCAACTCGTTGACTTGAGAAATAAGCTGAACATGAACATGAATGGTGAAAGGTACTTGCAGCATACGACTATTAGTGTAATTAATGGGTTTTTTTTTTTCTATTTTCTTGACAATAACAAAAATGAAAAGTAAAAATCAAGATATTTTAGTATTTAAATATCATGATTTCTTATAAAATTAGTTAAATAACTCTTATGAATCTTTTTTATATGTTGATTTATTAAAGATATTTAACTAATTTTATAAGAAGTTGTAACATTTTAATTATTGAGACATCATGATTTTCCACAACCTCATAACAAAACCCTAATCACATTTTTTTTTAGACCTTCAAACCTTAATGACATTGAATTGGGAGATATTTAAAGGAAATTTCTCATTAAACATAGTGGACCTTTTACTTAATTTCCACTAACGGTCACATGCCTTCCACCATCTAATTTGAACTTATAATTATACAAGTTAATAAGTTGAAGAGTGTAATTTTACATGTACTGATGTACCAATCATAAGGGTTTAAATGCAAATAATGGGAAACTCAAGGGAGAATTTCTAAGAATTTTTTTCCTAGTGAAAATAGTAGATACTCTACAAGAGTTCTTCAGGCCCAAAGCCCAAAGGGAGTACAACACAGATTCGTAATCTCTCTCTATCTGGGTTTGGTCCATGGACCCTCTAACAGAAATTTGAAAAATCACTTAAGCCCATATTAATTAGAAGACCAAAATTTGAAATCAAAACTCGACCCAACCCCTATTTCGGGCGCGGTTATTGCCCACAAAACGAAATAGGCCTATCTCCTTCAATGAGTGTTTTACTGTTTTACCCTTAAGAAGGCAGTGACTTTAGTCCAACTTATTTTTTTCTTTTCAGGAAAGGCCTATTCTTCTCTTTGAACCTAAAACAAAATTAGGTTTTTCCTCTTTACTGGAGCAGTAATGGTGGAGTTCAAGTGAAGCTTGGTGAAGAAAAAAATTTTTTTTTTCTAATTTTAAAAAGAGGACAAAAGAGTAAAATTATTAATAGATCATAAACTTAAATTCAATAATTGATATTCAAGTAAACAGATCAAGCATCCCTTCAGCAGAATCTTTCAAAGGAAGGCATAGGGCCACATGATATGAGCCTTTAGATGGGACTTGGAGGGTCCCTAAGCTTTTGAAGATTGATTAGTAAGGTCTTTCAATTATATTTCTATCCTTAAATTCTTAATTTATTTCATACCATTTTAATCCACTTCTTATTCAATATTTCATTTTGCTCCTCTAGAAACATCTGCTTTCTCCATCACTGCATGTGAACCCATCTTTAATTTCGAATGGAAGCTTTTAAAAGTTTTTCCATTAATTAAAAGTAAAAATCAATGTATTCTATCATTTAAAATATTAAGATCATTTGTGAAACTATTCAAACACTATTAATAAAATTTTTTATATTACTTTATTAAAAAAGTACTTAATTTTTTTTAATATTTTAATTACCAAAAGGGTTTAATTTTCTGTCACCTCTTTTCATTATTGACTATCCCGTCACTTTCCTTTAAAGCATTGATGACTTGATGGTAGAGGGCCGTGGACATTAAGGTCATTGGCATTTGTAGTGATGTAGAGCCTATCAAAGGAGAGTGCTTCTGGCATTCTACATCACAAATGGGATCATTTGGACAAAACTCTTCAGTTACGTTTGGTTTGAGTCCTATTCTCTCTTCTCCATTTGTTTTGGAACAAAACATACCCTTCATGTTTATAAAATGGTTTGGACAACATTCAGATCATACAAAACTTGGACTGGCCTCTTTGCTGAAGGCTGTCCTAAAAGGTGTCCCCCACGTAAAAGTCTACTATGGAACATCAATATAACTAACTATTTTTGGATAATAACTAACATTGCATTTGCATTTTAATTTAAGTCACAACATAGAAGCTAAAAAAGTATTAAAATTTTAGTTTACTAATTTTTTAGTCCAAAAGCTCAACAACCGGGTTGAATTACAAATCCTTGTTACCCCACATATTAAGCATAAACCTAATCATACCATATCCCATCTAACCAATCCATTTGGGATATGCCTTTGATGCTAATAATTAAAGCAAACTAATTCTTGGTTGATCCGCAGAAAGTATTTTGCATAAATAAAAGAGAGTTATGATTCACTTATAACACTTATGCATATCAACTTTTAATAAGAGTATGAATTTATTTATATATAAATTTTATATATTATACATACACAAAAATTTAACTTTTTATTTTTTTATTTTTCATGATTAAGATTTATTTATTTTGATTAAAAATAATTATTTTTTATTTAAAAAATCATTATAAAATTTAACTATTAAATGTGAAAAGATTGATAATTAAAATTTTATATAAATAAAATGAGTAAAAATTATGTATAAATAAATCCATTCTCTATTAATAATTTATTTTCTACTATAAGTAATTGAAATTTATTTAGTTTGTATCCTATTTATATTTCTTATGTCATTTTTTTAAGGAGACGAATGAAGGTGTTGGAGATATATGAAATATATATAGTTGTTTCCTAGTACTAGTTAAAGCAAAGATGACCCATATTTTAGATCTTCAATTGTTCCAACTACAATTTTCAATAAGCAAAATGAAGAAAAACATCATAATTAACTCTTTTTCACCTTTTATTTTATTTAATAATTTCTTGGATTTGATATCCATCTACTTCCTTTTCGACACCCTTTTGCAAAATCATTTCATTCGAATTATTGGAGATTGCTAAAGATTGATTTGAAGCAAAGATTAGGATAAGTAAGCAACTAAGCCAAAAACTGTTCATTTTACACTGTAGTTAGCTATCTGGTTCCATGGTCCACCTACCTTATGTAGTTATGTGTGGCGATCCCAAGAGTACCAGAGAGTTCCAACAATCAACAAGAAGGAATCTCCATGCGTTCAGCTTTTCTTGCACAGGTTCAGATATACAGATCCCAATTCATAAACGGAAAAATAGTTATACAATTTGAATTGTATGATATTATAAGCTTTTACTTCAGCTTAATAATTTTTATTTTACAATATAAAAACTCTTAATGAATTCAGAACCAATTTTTTTCCTTCTTCCAAAAATGAAAATTTCTAAAATCTCAATTTCTCATGTTGCATATCCCAAAAAAGATCTCAAGGAAGAGTAAAAAACAGAGATTTTCTTTGTACAATAGAAAATTTTCTCTGAAACCAAACAATTTACACAGAATTACACCCACCCAGATCACAAAATCATCTATGGAACTCTAAATTGAACATGAGAAAAAGAAAAAAGCATGACACAATCAATAGAAACAGAAACCGAAAACATCCATAATCTAATTGTTTTCAAAACTTCTACTGCATCTCATTTTTATTGAGATGAACTAAAAACATATATCAATATACTTCCAACAGCAAGTACTCACCCACTATTTTCATAGGAATAACTCCAAAGAGAGAAATCAGGCTATCTTGATCTGTGCTTACCGGCCTTCTTCCGATGATTCTTGGGCGCTTTTCCGAAAGCACTGCAGAAACCACAAGCAGAAAGCTTCGGCGACGGAGGTTCTACAGCCGGAGACACCTTTCCAGTCCGGTACCCGCGTTTCTCACCGCTGGATCGGCTTCGTGGAACGGTGTTGATCGGCGACGGTGAGATGGTTCTCACCGGCTTAATATCCTTTGAATCGACCTTTTCTTGGTCCCCACCCTGCTGCTCCTGTCCTTGCACCTCTTCTTGCTTCTCTTGATTCAGCTCTTCCGTTAGAAGCCGGTCGTCCCAAACCAGCCCCGACGACCCCTGCCGCCTGAACGATACCTCAGATCTCTGCAACCCAGCCATCGCCGCCGTCCTCTTTGGATCTTTCTGCGCAAATTGGTTATATAATAATTCGAAGTCGGTGACAATTATAAGAGTTTTCCTCTATATATACGGAAAGAATTCAGAGATGTGTTAAGAAAAGTCAAAATAAGCAACTTGGTCAATATTTCCGATTTTCGGTTCAACGTCGAAAAATAATAGTGTATAGGTAAAGCTAAGTAAGGGTGGGTGATAGTGAGATAATTTTTTTATTTTATTTTCGATGTAATTTTTAAGTGTTATTAATAAATATATTTAATATTATAAGTTTTATATAAATTAAAAATTTTAATTATTTAAATGACATCAAATTATATTAAAAAATGATATAAAAATATATCTCAAAATTATTTTCATATAAGTAATAAATAAAGGGTAGATTTCTTTTAATTTAACTATGAATTTAATTGGTTGATTTGTAGTTTGGGTTGTATTTAACTGCAAGTAAAATAAGAATTTTTAGATATAAGAGGCTTTCTAATATTAGGGAATGGAAAATGATTAAAAAATAATTTTTTATATAATTTTATATGTAATTTAATAATTGATTTTTTTTATTTTAAGACTCATAATATTGTACTTCTTTTATCATAAAATAATAATAATATAATTTTTTCAAATTAAAGATTTAAAACAATTTATATATTTATCTATATTATTTTTAAAAAAACTAAAAGATAAAGTAAAATTTTTTATAATAAGACAATTAATCAAAATAAATAAATAATAATAAAGTTAAACTAAGAAAATAATATTTATTTATCTTAAAAATAAAAAATAATTAATTTAAAACAAATTCAAAATCAAATAATGATAGTTATTTTGAGATAAA